TATATATATATATATATTGATGTTCGCTATATTGCATTTTATATGCATTGAAATGTGGTCATTGATTTATTACGTTTTATTTTTAATCTATCAAAATTACTTCATATTTATTTGCTTTATATGAAACACAATAAGAACGACAATAACAATAACAAGCCTTTATCCCACTAAGTGGGGTCGGCTACATGAATCCTTTTTCTCTATTGCGTCTTATTGAGTGTCATATTTTCATTTAATTCTATCATATTTTTATTGAGTGTCATATTTTCATTTAATTCTAGTAGATTAAAATCATTTTTTTATACAATGTACCCCACTCTTTTTAGGTTTATCTCAACCTTTTTTAACAAAAGTTGAATCTAAAACATCTATTCTCCTAACCGGATCATTAGATGGTCAAGATTTAATGTGACCAAACCATCTAACACAACTCTCTCTAATCATGTCAGCCACTCGAGCTACACCAACCCTATCACGAATATATTCATTTTGTATTTTGTCTCCAAGCGTTTAGCCACTCATCCGCCTAACCATTTTCATCTCAGCAACAATTAACTTTGTTTTATGCTTCTCTTTCAACTGCCAACTTTTTGGGCCATAGAACATTGCAAGTCTCACCATAATCTTATAAAAGTATCTTTTCAGTCAAAGTTGTACTTTTCTATCACACACAAGTTCTGAGGCATTCCTCCACTTCAACCAACCAACTTGAATTCTACTAATAACATCTCTATCTATATCACCTACACTTTGAACAATGGACTTTAGATATCTAAAACGTTCACAACTTCTAATAAATTGATAATCGATAATTACAACTCTGTCACAAGAGTTACTACCACTAAAATTTCATTTAATGCATTTAGGGTCTGTTTGGGGTAGCTGCAACTTATCCAGCTTATGCTGATAAACTGCTGATCCAGATAAGCTGCTGATCAGGCTGCTGATCAGCAGCTGAATCTGGATAAGCTGGTTGACTGTTTGGTTTATGCGTTTGAAAAACAGCTGATTTGCAGCAAATTTTGGATAAATGACCATTCTGCCCCTGATTTGGATAAGCTGTATAGCTGTTTGATATATGCGTTTGGAAAACATCTGATTTGCTGCTATTTCTGGATAAATGACCATTTATTTTTTTCCTTCAATTTTTTAATCAGCTTGATTAATCATTACGTAATTATGAAAATGGATGAAACTAGATCCTCGTGTAAAGTTCGTGAACGATTTTGTAGAGCTCATGAGTTTGATCCAAGATAGATAGCAATGATGAAGGCACTCATTTTCTTTTAAGATTCTCACTAAAATTGTCCAAATCACATGTGTTGAACTAATATCTTTATATTCCGCCAAAAAAAAACAAGAACCAATATAAATGATATGTATAAATTTGGCTTGATTAGCCAACATCACTTAAAAAATCAAATTTTGTAGTAGGCCTCTTAAATGATGAAACCTTAACTTTTCTTTACCCAACAAAACTTGGGTGTAATCAATAAACTATAATCAACTTTTACCAATGATGCTCTTGATTTCTAGTTCTTGCCAAACAATATACTATTAGATAATGAAATCATAAAAATCAAACAACCCATTTATCACCACCATCACACTCACAACCATTCACTTGCACATTAAAACAAATGAGAACAA